TTTTTTTTTTTTTTTTTTATTTTACAAAATTATGTTTGATATCGATTGGAATCTAAATTTTAATCTAAATCAAAGTTAACAATTAATTCTAATAACATATTTCATGGAATCCGTAACCATTTAACTTTTATCAAAATTTACTAAAAATTTGATTTTAATCTCCACCAAATTGAGGTAAAATTACAATAAATTTGAATTTCGATAACAAGCTAATTTTAAAAATTTTCTAACAATCGTACGCTAATCGAATATACAAATTACTTATGTCGTTTTAAAATTTATTTCAAGAACTACATTATGGGCATATCGAATGGTCTAAACAGATATCGAAAATAGTTAAAAATACATTAAACATGAGTTTTAACGAAAGACGTCTAATTCGCATTTTTCTAAAAAAAATTCAATTTTTTCATTAACATTTATTATTTTTGCGATACAAATTTCTCAATATAATTTTCATCATTTTATTAGGAAATTTTATATGGAATATGACATCAAAAAAATTCGAAATTTTACATCCGAAAAAGTCATATTTCAAGTAAATTTTCGAATGCAAAATTACATAGGATATGATTTTTTTGGACGTAAATTTTCGATTGTAAAATTTCTCTCAATTTCTTTGCAAGTTCGATTGTACCCCCTAATTTTAAACTTCTGCGTCCGCCCCTGACTTCACCAGTAGTCGGTCGTCCGTTGCATTACATTTAAAATGTACTGCCTGAGTCCCATTCACGTAAATATATAAATGGAAAATTATATAATTCTGCACTCAGTCGGCGTCCTCTTTAAAAGGCAAAAAAACGACGTAATTTTCAATATCATTCTGTTTTTCTCACATTCTACATCAGTTGTCTAAACACATTCATCAAAAATCCTAAAATCTGAGACGACTTCACTTAATTCGTTGATGATCACAACGTATTTACAAAGAAGAAATTAAAAAAAACGCTATTCTAATTGCAAAACAATTGTCATCATTCATCAGCATAAGGCGATGAATACGATACTCCAAATTCTATTAATTAATTACTTTTTATATGTTTCTGTTAATCTGTTCTTTCATTGAATCGTTTCCACTACCGGAATTCATCAGGAAGATAACTCAGTATATCCTGGATGTCACGTGAATCTGCAACTCGGCCATTGATTCTCAGAGCCTCCATCGCTCGCTCGAAGAGGAACACATTGCAGGGAATCCGTAAAACACCTTTTTGTTCATAACCATACTCCTGTGCCGATATACTCAGAAGCTTTACAAAAATCGGATGATTCAAAAGCTCGGCACTCACAACAAAGCGTTCCATTTCCTCGCCTACATACACCGGCAAGTGTCCCTCCGGTACACCGCTGTTCTTCTGCAAAGACGCATACCTCCGGCGTCTCGTTCTCGACTCCGATCGCAAATGATAATACTGTGAAGAGTCTGCCATTCTTGCTAGCCTCCGTATCAAACTCTTCATTCTCTTAAGAAAATTTTCAGTATTGTTTTCAATTATTTTCAGAGAGAGAGAGAGAGAGCTTTGGGAGATTTGAATAGAGATGGAGGGTTTAAATAGGAGATGCAGTGTGCAGACACAGAAATTCTATTGGGAGGTACAGATAGGCGTACTTGGCAGGTAATTTTGTGTAATTTATTACTACAGGCTTGTTTCTATTTACACTAATCAAGAAAATATAAAATATAATTTTTCTTACAACTTTTTTTAATATATTCGTACATTAAATAATAATTTAAATAGAATTAATTTATAGTTATTGATAACAATGTACATTAAATATGGACATATTAGAAAACTAAAAAATATCTATACTTTTAAGAAGAAAAATGATATATAATTTGGGACATACGAAAAATGAAATCAAGCGTATCTTTATGAGATGGATGTAATAATTAGTTAAACTAAATCGATTTGTTTAAATGGGAAAGACTAATTGTTGTTTGGTGGGAGTGGAACAGTTGAAGGTTGAGATAATCGAAAAGAGTAAGGCTATTTAGCTCCACTGGGATTACAACTACAGTTTATGTGGCATTAAATGATAAGTGAAATTAAATAAGTAATTTAATTTCACCTTTCATTTAGCCTATCATTTAGAGCAACATAAACTGAGGTTACAACTCCAGTGAGGTTATATAGCATTACTCAATCGAAAAATAAGGATTGTATATCACGAGAATGACTTCCACGTTAATTTACAACTTTTTTGGAATTAAACAAACTAATAATGCAGGATAATGTCAAAAAAAAAAAAAATAATGACAAATGCCCCTAATATAAATTGAAGAAAGTAGATAAGAAAATATGTGATTCAATGCAAAATATGTAAATGCTCTTATCACATGATAGGGATATGCTCCCAAAAAAATAAAAAAATAAAAATGATACATAAAGTAAAATTTCCTCCATAGATTTAACCTAGAGTTGAAAATTGGGAGACTTAGAATTTTTCAAGATACTTTTCCATTCTCCCCATAGAGTCAACCTTAATTCTATGCATGTTTTTTCCTAGTTGTGTTTGAATGGGTAATTTGTATTATAATAAAAAAGTCATTTATTTTGTAAGTAACATATTATTTATTAATAAATTAAGTAACTTCGTCATTTTCAAATTTAATTATCGTAAATTATTTTAAAATTTACTTGTTTACTCAAAAGTAATTAAATTCACTCAAAACACTAACGCATATGTTAATGCATAAGGAACTTCGTCGGAAACAAAAGTTAAGGCAATTGAACTCAACTTTTCAGCATTTAATCGCGCCTACATCAAGGATAAAAATGTAAATTGCACTCCTATGCTGTGTTTGGTTACTTTGGTAGTGTAGGTTGTGAGAAGATTTTACGTTATTTGTTAATCTTTAATTCAATCTAGATATCGGCTCTAACAGAGTTAAACGGATATATAATTTATAACTACTTTAATTGATGCTAACAATTCATCAAAGTCATATTATGTACTTTCATTAATACTAGTCAACTTTGAACGTGAATTACACGTTATTATGAAATGTTTTATAAGTGTTGTAAAAGTAATATTTGAATATGCATGACTGTTAATTAATTTAAAATTAATATCATGAAATATATATTTGACAATGAATGTTAAATAGTTGAGAATAATAAAATGCATTTTTGAATGTGAAATTCGAATTAACTTTTAATTAAAATTAATAACATTGAAATGCATAAATATGAATATTAATTAAATGAATGTGAATTTTAATGAATTAAGAATTAATAATTGGGAATCTAATAAATTAATGAAAGTACTCAGGTGAAATGAATCCATCAAATGTACATGTACATTGATGGTAACTAAATGATTAAATAAATTAAATACATATTGAAATACGAAAAGTAAGATACTATTGAAATAATTCAATTATAGTATGGCTAGAATCGTCGGAAAATGATTCTCATTTGATGTGATATTTAATATATTATGGATTATTCAAGTAAAATGTTTTTAAAGCTAAAGCATTCTGCCATATACTCGTATTTTGATTCAAATTTCAAGTAAGGAATAAATTGTCCACAAACTTATTTGTGTCTAAACTTTTATGAGCAAATTAAACAATTTGCATTCAGGTGAGTAAATTTCTTCACCAAATATAAAGGGTTAGGTGTCTAAACTTTTATGCTCATGCTTGACCTAATTGTGACTCTTTCATATTGGTTTAGCTTGCACCTTTAAATTGGATTGGATTTATGTGATTGAAAAACACAATTTAGCCAATGAAATTGGAAATTGAGCAACCAGACATGAAGGGTCTTAGAAAAGTTGGACATGTCTTTGTACTCACGAGTGAGTGTTCCCTATGGTGACTTGAAGAAAACAATGTGGGATTACCCATGAAAACAACTTTACAACTCCTAAATCAAGTTGTAGAGGGGTCATCGCTGTCTGTCTTGGCAATTATCACTGCTCAATTTTCATTTTCTTTTTGGCTAAATCTGGCATTTTTCGTTTTTCTTTTTCTCATTACATTCTAATAGAAGGACTATAATATTTCTTCAAAATCAACTCGTCATTGGCAGCACTCCTAGGATGCGCGAAAAACTTCTTTAAAATAAATTTGTTATCGGTACCAAAAGAATTATAATTCTATATTTTATCATAAAACTAAATTTTCTATTTCTTATGTTGGCCGTCCTCGGTCCTTTATCAATTAAAAATGTTATTTCACCCATTTGTCAAAAGATTAATGATATAAAGTATCACTGGCTTAATGGTGTTATAGCACTGATCTATGTATCTTAAATGATGAACCATCTTAAATGAGACATGTGACCTTATATAATGAGTAACATAATGTCACATGCACTTTATCATTTGACAGTTTAAAACACAATCAACATTTTCATTCATTTTTTCCCTCTACATCATACTATGTAATGTTATGTACAATTTTGATGTAAGTAACAAAATCCCTTTTAAAATGATCTATATTGGTACTAAACATTAGTTGTACTAAATAACATTACTCTTATTAAAATTCGTACACATATGAGTTACTTATTAAGATGGGTCTTCAATTAGGATTTTAATGGATTTTAAAAGATTATAAATTTTAATGAATTTTGTGAATTTGAATAGATTTATATAGAATTCATAAAAATCTCATTAAAAATAATGAAATTTCCAAAGAGTTTGCTACGTATAGCTTGAAATCCATCCAAATCCCTTGAAATTCCTTTATTGGTGAAATTATTATAAATCTACGAGCTATTGGGACATCTAAATTTTAAGAATAATGCTACTTACAGTCGCTCACTGCAGCAGTCGCCCTATTTGGCACACACATGTCAAGTGTGTATTTGATGCATTAAATATGATAAAAAACTACCACATTAATGCATCAAATAATTACATGCCATGTGTGTGCCACATAGGGCGACTGCTGCAGAGAGCGACTGCAAATAGCATTACTCAAATTTTAATGGATTGAGGATTCCTAAATATACAAGGATTTTTAAAATTCACTAAGTTTCCAATTGAGAACACCGCTATAATAGACAATATGATACATATGTATTTCATTTAAGGTGACAATTATTATATGTTTTGAAATGTTAGAGAGATTATATTGATTGTGGTATTTTTGTTGTTTAATTTATGTTGAATAATATTTTGAAGTTAAATATTGAATTTACAAAAATAAATTGATAATTATATTATGTTTCCACATCGTTTCATGCCCCACTATTTTAGGGAAAAAAGGAAAAAAAGAAAAATCTCGTGTCATGTCCTTTTTCCTTTCCCATTTCCCTTTTCGTGTAACTCAATGTAGCATTAATAGCGTTAATAGTGTTCTTAAAGATTCAACACATCTTCGTCTGCGCTACAGTCACTCGTAAAGTACTAGGAGGAAGTCCAATTTCATTTTTGAATCAAGAATATATTTAAATAAAGATGATAACTACACAAAACCACATTCTTCGGCAGAGTTATGTTTACATTTAAAGAGAAGTTTTGATTATTTATTTTAAGAGAAAAATTACTTTAATTTAGTTATAAATCTCAAAACCAATACAAAAGCTCGTGTACGGTCTCTTAGTCTCCCCAAGTTTTGGCCCTATAGCTCTTGCCCCAGGCGCACGATCGAGACTATAACTCTTAACATCTACAAAAATCTCGATTATATTTCTCAATTCCACCTTTTTTCTTCCCTCTACAATATTTTTAGTAGAAATTTTCAAGGTTACTCTATTGTTTAAGAAAAGTAAAAAAACATAGAAAAGAGCATCGCGTGGCAATCATGTACATGCCCTAATTATCAATTTGATATTGGTGAGGTTTTTTCGCATTAAATTTTTTTCGCAATACCACATGAACAAGTAAACTCCGTTGATCTACAGCACAACTAATATGGTGTTATTATAAATTCACTTTGTGAAATAATTTTTCTCATTATCGAGTAAAATTATAGATAAAAATTTGACGAGTTATCTTTCCTTTCTCGATTAATTTCAATTGTAACTGGGTTAGGGAAATTATTCATGGGCAAGAAAAAAGGAAAGTTTCAAACATAAATAAAATTAAATTGGGTAAGCATGGTGACACTAACTCACTAAGTATAACTGTATAAAGTTGAGTGATCAATGTAAAATAAAATCAAATTAGGTGGTCATGGTAACACAAAGTATAAAGTTGGGTAGCCACCAGTGAATTTAACTCATAGGATTCCTCATTCATCAAATACAATGAAAAACTTAGTTTAACATTCTATAATTAAGGACTTGTTCAGTAGAGATTAAAATCGGATTAAAATTGAAAAATCAGCCGTTATTGTTGATTTTTATTAGACGAGTATGACCCAATAATGACTATATTTTCAATTTTAATTGAATTTTAAGCCCTCACAAACATGCTCTAAGTGTGTGTTTGGTAGGGATTTTTTGGGGGAAGAATTGATTTTGAATAGTGATAT